TTTAAAAGATGTAGTACGTGAGAGGTAGAGATAAAGACTGAGCCCAGATAGGAAGAAACCGGGGGTAGGGGGAGGGTCCGCAAAACTCCCCCCAACCATAGTCCACGTCAGCAGTACAGTACAGGTAGAGAGAGAGAGAAAGCAAAGCACAGCGCTAGTACAGAAAGTCGTCGTCCTCACTCAGTTTAACCACCGAATCCAGGGATCAGTGCCTAAACAATCATCTTCTTTGTTTTTAAATGTAAATAAAAAGAACTTGTTCACAATTTAAATAGAAGATGGGCGCGAAGCGCCCTAAAAACCTAGAAAGAAGGGCGCGAAGTGCCTTGCATTTCTAGTATTTATAATATTTGTTTGTTATTTTAAAATGAAAATATAATACATTTTTATAATATTTTTCTTGGTCTAAAGATATCTCGCCATTATCGGCTACAGTTTCAATGGTATCAAATGGTCTGGATCCTTAAATGTCTTGGATTCTTTAATTTTCCGGATCCTTTGATCCTAAAATGTTCTAGATCCTAAAAAATCTCGGATCTTAAAATGTCCCCGATCCTTTAATGTCCAGGTTATTAAAATTTCCCGGATTCTGAAATTTTTCTAGACACTTAAAATGTCTTGGATCCCTATAATGTCAGGGATTCTGAAATGTCCCGGATTCTGAAATTTTCCTTAATCCTTAAAATGTCTAGGATTCTGAAATTTTCCCGGTTTTTTTTAAATATCCAGGATCCTTAAAATGTCCTGAATCCTAAAATGCCCTGGATCCTAAAATGCCCTGAATCCTAGAATGCCATGAATCCTAGAATGCCCTGAATCCTAGAATGTACCTGATCTTAAAATGCCCCGGATCCTAAAATGTCCGGGATCCTTAAATGTCCTGGATCCTTAAATGGTCCTGGATCCTAAAATGCCCCGTATCCTAAAGTCCATGATCCTAAAATGTCCCGAATTCTAGTATCTGCTGGATCCTATAATGCCCCTGATTCTACAATTCCCCGTATATTAAAATGCCCCTGATATTAAAATTCACTGGATCCCAAAAATGCCCCTGATCCTAAAATGCCCCAGATCCTAAGAAGCCCCGGATAGCCTGGATGACCCTGCTAACCCGAATAATATGTAGATGAGTGTTGAGCTCCTGAAGGAAAGTGTAAGTGTTGATGTTGAAGTGATGCCTGGACCTCTGGTTGATGTTCATGAGGTAATTAATATTTCAATTTTAGTTAATATCACCTCCCTCCTCCATTAATTAATATTTCAATTTTAGTAAATATCTTCCTCCCTCCTCCCCTAATTAATATTTCAATTTTAGTAAATATCCTCCCTCCTCCCCTAAATAATATTTAAATTTTAGTAAATATCTTCCTCCCTCCTCCCCTAATTAATATTTAAATTTTAGTAAATATCCTCCCTCCTCCCCTAAATAATATTTCAATTATAGTAAATAAGTCGTCTTCCTATTCCGAAGTTTTCTGGTTATCACTGTTTTATTTTCTATCTAATGTTTTAGTTAAAAACTGATTTTACAGCATTTTCTCTGTTTGTAGGAGTTCATTCTGGGATTTAAAGAATTTAAGACTGCAGAAACAATATCCTTGATTCAAAGGTATCATATCTTAATTATAAAATTTATAAAACTTATTTTAAAAAGCATTTTAACTATTATTATTATTACAATGGGGACAACATTTGGTTGTCCTTTTATTAATAATAATAATATTAACAACAATTAGAATAAATTGAAATCAGTCTGTAAAGGGATTGTGAACGGATATTTTAATAACTTTTATTTACACAGTACTAATAACAATACAAATCGTCAATGATGGTGATATTTTTTTATTTCAAGTATTTAAACACTGTATTATTAACTACTTATTAAAAAGGATTTCGCACACAAAAATGGTAAAAAATGGTACACAAATGGTAAAAAATGGTACAAAAATGGTACACAAATGGTAAAAAAGGGTACAAAAATGGTACAAAAATGGTACAAAAATGGCACAAAATTGTACAAAAATGGCACAAAAAGGTACAAAAATGGTACAAAAAATAGTAAAAAATGGTACACAAATGGTAAAAAATGGTACAAAAATGGTAAAAAATGGTACACAAATGGTAAAAAATGGTACAAAAATGGTAAATAATGGTACAAAAATGGTACAAAAATGGTACAAAAATGGTACAAAAATGGTACAAAAAAGGTACAAAAATGGTACAAAAATGGTACAAAAATTGTACAAAAATGGCACAAAATGGTACAAAAATGGTACAAAAATGGTGCAAAAATGGTACAAAAATGGTACAAAAATGGTACAAAAATGGTACAAAAATGGTACAAAAATGGTACGAAAATGGCACCAAAATGGTACAAAAATGGCACAAAAAAGGCACAAAAAAGGCACAAAAAAGGCACAAAATGGAACAAAAATGGTACAAAAAGGGTACAAAATGGTACAAAAATGGCACTAAATGACACAAAAATAGTACAAAAATGGTACAAAAAAAAACTAAAAAGAAATCAAAAAGTTTGCATTTGTGCGTTGTTAATGGCATACTTCATGCAGTGGATGAATACATTGAATGTTCCATTAAAAACACTTGTTACCAGGGTTATGAAAGATTTTGAGTCCAAGTCCTCAGAAAATGATAATGTGTCAACAGCAACAGAATTGACGACAGCTGCAGAGTCAACTGAAAACCCAGAACCGGCGGCGACGGAGGTTTCCCCCAGTCATGATGATTTAACGGTCAAAAAACTGAATCCACGTAGTGTAAAAACTAAATCTAAAAGGTAATATGGACTGGGGTGACATGTATGGTTTTATCTTCTTCAATTGTGAACATTTTCTTTTTGTATACATTGTAAAACAAAACAAAAACAAAAATTTCGCGGATTTTAGATGAAAAAAATCGTGGATTTTCAAAATTTTCAAAAGTCAAATTTTGTTCAATGCATTTTTTTGAAAATTCGATCGTCAATAAACCTTCCCTGCTGTCGTTTATGCAGCTTGGAAAGTGTTTAATTCTAATAATGTCCTCCCGTTGTTTCTTCAGTAGAAATGCGCAAGTTACATTTGCTGAGAAGAGTTAAACTCATTAGTACTTGATCATTCTAAGCTTTAAAGTGTACCGTTGTGAATTGGTCGAACCACTCATCAACTGGACAGTTCCTTGAAATTATGAATGCAGCACTATTAACAAACTAGATTTTGACGAGACAATTATTGAATAATACATTACTTTACACTACATGAATCTAATATGTAGTTTATTGAATTGACTTGTCCTTGGTTAGAAAAAATAAAGTGTAAATAATTTTTTTATAAAATTTATCTTTCAGGATTCGAGTTCTGGTATTTTGTCAGACAAACAATCAAACCAATAGTTTGTCAGATGTACTTAACAAGTTTGTACTTTTATATATTCATTTATCCACTCATTTGTTCAATCCATCCTTATATTCATTCACTCATTGTTAGATATGCTTAACACTTTTTATATATTCATTTATCCACTCATTTGTTCATTCATTCATGAATACATTTAAAATTATATTTTAATTTATCAATTCATTTATTCATTTATAATCTAAAATTTGGGCCCTACGCACGGTCGATACATGCTTTTAATAAATCAATACATCCTAGTATTCATCCATTCCTTTCATTAATTCATAATTTTATTTATTCATCTGTTTATTAATTTATCGTTTAATTGATTTTTCCAATTCATTCTTTTAAAAATGTATCTTTTTATTACTTAGGGGGGGGGCCCATTCGACACTTTGTGACACAAATTTTTGTATAGGCTGCGTTTGGTCCTAATAATTGAGTTAGAAGGCTGAAATTCTGCATGCAGCCTCTAATTGTGGTCATCTACATTGATAAAGAAGAAAATTTGAGATCGGAGGTCATTGACCTCAATTTTGACCACCATGAACTCAGAAAATAAGGGAAAATACCACTGTCTTCCCTCTAAGTAATCAGACATGTTTTTATATTTATAATAGACACATATATTCAACCTCCATCTTGACCTCCCTTTGATAATGACCTCCAAAAATGGTCAAATATTAAATCAATAAATAACTCATGTGAGATATCAAATCATAGGTTTTTTGGTGTTCCGATTTCATTCTGATACCCCTTTTTGAAATCGGAGGTCATTGACCTCCATATTGACCTCCATGAACTCAGAAAATACGGGAAAATACCACTTTTTTCACTCTAATTGAATTATTATAAGTTAATCAGACATGTTTTCATATTTTTTGCTACCACATAAGTCATGGACATAGACACATATATCCGACCTCCATTTTTACATCCCTTTGATAATGACCTCGATAAATGGTCAAATATTAAATCAATGAAAATAAGTCATGTAAGATATCAAATCATAGGTCTTTTGGTGTTCCTATTCCAATCTGATATCCATTTTTGACCTCAGATGATCCTGGAGGTCGTGATCTCCAAAACTAGCTTACCTCAAAAAATAAAATCAATAAAAATAATTTATTTCGTGTATTTTGGTGTTCTGATTCCATTCTGATACCCCTATTTGACTTCAGATGATCCTAAAGGCATTTGACCTAGTTAGGATGTTTTATACATATCTTTTCAATTTTAACTTTTAAGTCTAATTAAGAAAATCCGCGAAAAAATTGAGAAGAAATCTGCCAGTTCTGCTTATTCCTGACATTAGAAAGAAAATAGTATGTACTATACTAGAAATTCAAGGCGCTTCGCGCCCTTCTTTCTAGCCTCAGAGGGCGCTTCGCGCCCATCTTCTAAATTAATTGTGAACATGTTCTCTTTGTGCACATCGTAAAACAAAACAAAAATAATTCGCGGATTTTCACAAAAAATTTTGCGGATTTTCAAAATTTTAAAAAATTTAATGACGATCGAATTTTGATGGAGACAAATATTTGAAATTTTGAAGAGTCATAAACCTTCCCGGGAGTCCCTAGATGTCCCATAAAAAATTTGGGCCCGATCGGTTCAGCCGTTTTGACGTTTATTGGATACAAACAAACAAACACACAAACAGACAAACAGACAGACAGACAGACAAACAGACAAACAGACAGACAGACAGACAGACAAGCCAAATTTATATATAGATTTCTTTTATAATAATGACGTGTAAATTGTAAACAATGAATTAATTTATTGATGTAGAATACAGAATATGTAGAATGAAACCATTTTGAATCCGTACTAACTAGGTCAGGAACAGTTAACTTACACTCATTGATTATAAAATATGTTATCTTATGTTAAAAGAGACCTATCTCTGATTTGATACATAATATGACCTTTTTTCTTGATTTTAGGTTTTAGAGCCGTGGTCATATCCATCTGGGGTCGGCGAACTTTATAATCATTTGAAGTCAAAAAGGCTCCTCGGAACTAACTTAGAGCAGCAAAAAAAGCTATGATTTGATACCTTTCATGATCCATGTTCATGGTGGTTCTGAATTTTGACCTTTTGAGATCAAACATATGAAAGATCAAAGACATTTAGGACTTTCAGATTCAAAAAAGTTTGTATTGGAACAATGATTTAATTTTATAAAATGCCAAATTTTCATGATTTGATATTTGACCATTTTTGGAGGTCATTATCAAAGGGAGGTCAAAATAGAGGTCGGATATATGTGTCTATATCAGTGCATGACTTAATTGGCAGCAAAAAATATGAAAAACATGTCTGGTTAATTAGAGGGAAGAAAGTGGTATTTTCCCTTATTTTCTAAGTTCATGGAGGTCAAAATTGAGAATGACCTCTGATCTCAAATTTTCTTCTTGATCTATGTAGATGACCACAATTAGAGGCTTCATGCAAAATATCAGCCTTTTAACTCAATTATTAGGACCAAACGCAGCCCGTACAGGTGTCACAAAGTGACAAATTGTCCCCCCTCCCCCCCCCCCTTTATCCTAAGATTAATTCATTTCTTATCTCATTAACATCCAGAAAATAACCTCTTCCCTTGAAAAAAAGGTCAAAGCATGACTCCTGATAAAAAAAAACAGTAAAATAATATTTTCTACTTTAGTTTTATTCTTATTTTTACGAGAATGAGGTTTTATTTTTAATACCCTTTATCTCCATACTTATACAGGGAAAGACTGAAATCTGGGTCTCTGAATCCATATAAGACTTCTCAACAAAGAGACTTCACTCTTTCTGCATTTACCAAGGAACTCTCATAATTCTGGGATTTTTTAACTTTGTATTTTATAACAATTGAATCCTGTTTAGGACGACGTTGGGCTCTAAATCTAATTGAATTTAGCTTTTTTTTTTTTTAAACCAATTAACTTATTTTGACTGTGTGAGTTTATGTAGGGAGAAATCAATGTTATTGTTGCTACCTCTGCAGTTACTAAAGGAATCATGCTGCCTGAGGTAGGACTTTTGGTTTTTGCAGCAGTGCTTAGAAACAGGATTCTTTGGATCCACAACATGTTGGCTCCCTGGATCTGGATCCGGATCCGCAAAAATATTTTGATCCACTGATCTGGCAAGAGAGGGAACCCCTGGACGCCATGAGCTTCTGCTATACAGACACGAGCCTTCCAGATCTGCTAGGTATACCAAGCCTCAGCCATGCTGTAAACAAGCCTAGCTTTCTTATAATTCTTGGGTTTTACATGTAAAATAGAATTTTTTTTCAGCAAGAATTTACTTAAGATTAATGTTGTTTATTGATTGTCATGATTTGTAACTTATATTGACTCGAAAAGTGGTTTATGTTACACAATAAAACATTTCTTACGCAGTAAGGAGGCTAATAGGAAATTCATTTCTGAATTGAACTTTGCTAATTTTTGATTTAATCAATATCTTTCTTCCGCAATTGTTTTAGACTCTGATTATTTGTCAATGTCAAATTTTTGATTATTTCAATCTGATAAAACTTTAAATAAAAGTATCGCCTAAATAAAATTACTTTCATAATCTTTTCTCTAAATGTTTTCCCTTTTGCGTAAAAAAATGTTGAAGTTTTAAAAACCACTTTACTAGTCATAATTAGTCACTATTTATAATAATTGATCCATACTTCTGATCTTTAATAAACTTTGTATGCCACTATTTCCAAAAAAAAATTTTAAAAATTCTTAACTATATATATACTATATATATATAAAAACCAAGAGTTTTATGGAAACTATTCTGTATATTGGAAGCCCTTGTTTCATGGCGGAGACTTGGAAGCTTGTGTCTGCATAGCGGAGGCTCATGGCGTCCAGGTGTTCCCTCCCTCATCTGGATGGTACCAAGAAGTTAAATTTCAACAAAAAACTGTAAAAAAAATTTCCTTTTTAAACTCAAATCTGAACTGATAGAGAGTTTTGCCTTCAAAGAATTACTTAACAAATATTTTTTTTTTCATTCCTTTAGGTTATAGCTTTAGGAGTAAATAAATGATTATATTTTCTAAACCTTTGTATTGGTTATAGGTGGATTTGGTGGTAAACTATGATATGCCACATCAAGTAGAGGATTTTATCTACAGAACCACCGCCATTGGCTCTAAGGGAAACCAGTTGATCATTCATTTATAAAATATATTAAAGAAGAATATTAAGATTAGCACAAAGCTAAGTTAAATTGTGTAACCTTTTCTCACAGCAACTGTTTGAACACAAAAATTTGTATTTCAATGTCAGTTAAAGATGGTTAAATTAATGTTTTGTTGAGCCCCATGGTTATATAAACTGGTATCCATAGGTTGAGACAGCAAAGCTGGTTAGTCTGATTGACCCTCTCACAGATGGAAGTGTAGTCAATGCACTATCTAAACTTCTGAATCTTTGTAATAAAACAGTTCCAGACTGGTTTTCAAACCTGGAAAAGCTGAAAGCTGCACATGAACAGGAAGAACATAGTGCCGGGAAGCTACCCAATGAGCCTAGGAATAGTAAAGAAGCAGATCCCAAACTGGTAGTGGTATTTTTTCTCTTTTCTAGAATTGAGAGAGGTTAAATAAAATGCAAATGTCCATTCTTCAGATTATAACTTGATTAATACTAATTTCATTTGTAAGAAAATTTACTGGTTACTTTTTACTTCTGATTAAATTTTGACACTAGAAAGGCATATGTAATGACTCCAAATTTTGCCTGTTCAGGGATCTAAGACAAAAGAATCTGACTCCCTGAAAAAGAACAAGAAAAAGAAAAAGAAGGACAGAAAGGTCCACTTGGATACTGAAAATGTAGAATCAAATCTTCTGGGAGAAATGCCTTTAGCAAAAAATAATAAGCCAACACAGAAATCCAATGCCTCACCTGACTCTAAAACAGAGCTCAGCAAGAAAGAAAATGGTAAAAGCGTTCTCAAAGGAAATGGAAGCAAGAACTCTAAAGACAAGTCTGGGTTTAACTTTAGCAATCAGTCTAATCAGATCAGCACTAGCGAAAACTCAACTGCAAGTCATGCTATTGATAAAAGAGAGACCAGTGGAAGAGATCCAAAGCACCAATCAAGTGTATCAAACGAAACTAAAGACAATGGTCACAGTTACAATGGAAGCCAGGATAGAAAACAAAGACCAGGTAAAGCTTCTTTCAACAACCAAGCAAGAGGTTACCATGACAAATATAGTAGACCTCCAACCAGTGAAGGTCATAAAACCCCTGTAGAGAACTCTAATATGGAGGGTAGAAGAAGAGAGAACAGAGTAGTAACCACAGATGGCCAACCAATAGGGGCAGATAAGACTTCTGATATTCCAGATGCTAAGATTTTGCCCAATAATGGACACAAATATGGAGATGTATCCAGCTCTGAAAATAAATTAGATAATGGTCCAGAACCAGCAAAGGCAAAGGATTCTCCAAGGAGTGTACCTGGAGATTATTCTGCTGGCAGCTGCAGAGCAGGAAGAGGGTTTGCCAGTAGAGGATCTGGAAATTATTCAAGGAGGTCAGGAGGGACTGAATACTCCGGAACAGAGAGTGGTGACTACTCAAGAACTGAAGATTACAGGCCTGATACAGGTCATAATGGAGACATACCAGAGGACAGAGAGGCCCCTAGAAAAAGTGCAGACAGAGTATTGGATAATCAATCCCGATTTTCCTCAAGGTGTGCAACACAACAATTTCTATTTCTAATATATATTAATTTCTATTTCTAATCTTATTAAATTGTAGAATAAAGGAGTTTCAAGAGAATCGAGGCCAAGGAACAAGAAGTTTGGATTACACTGATGCTGAAGATATTCCTAGACAACCTCGATCTTTAAACCGGTAATTAGGAATATTTTAGACCCCACTAAGGATGCTCTATAGCACACCAATGTCAGTTCTTGTTGAATATTTATTTGGTCAAGTTTGTCCATACAGTAGTTGATGTTAAGGAGTGTAAGTGGATCTGGGTTTGGAGAAGCTGGGGTTAGGAATCCAGTAGCAGATATAGTTGGTATACTACAGCAACAAGCAGCTGGTGGTGGATACAAGTAAGTTATTGTTACAGAAAATATAAACCCTTTATTTATTTTCTACTGCTTAGTGGTTCCAGGTCAGGAAGAACAGAGGATATGTTGGCAACCTCAGCTTATAGACCTCAAGAGGACAGGTATACTCATTAATATCATTTCCTGTCTAAAAATTATATTTAATCTGTATTATACCACATTCTTATTGGATTTACGTTGCCAAATTAGCAATAATTCTTATTATTGTCACCCATTTCGTGTAATAATTATGATTATTCAACAACAAGGTGACAATAATCAGGAATATTCACTGGGAACTTGATAGATAGATAGATCCATAAACTAGGTGACAATAATAAGAATTATTCACCAGGAACTTGATAGATAGATAGATACATGAACTAGGTGACAATAATAAGAAATATTCACCAGGAACTTGATAGATAGATAGATACATGAACTAGGTGACAATAATAAGAAATATTCACCAGGAACTTGATAGATAGATAGATCCATGAACTAGGTGACAATAATAAGAATTATTCACTGGGAACTTGATAGATAGATAGATAGATCCACGAACTAGGTGACAATAATAAGAATTATTCACTGGGAACTTGATAGATAGATAGATAGATCTACGAACTAGGTGACAATAATAAGAATTATTCACTAGGAACTTGATAGAAATATAGATCCATAAACTTGGTGACAATAATAAGAATTATTCACTGGGAACTTGATAGATAGATAGATCCATGAACTAGGTGACAATAATAAGAATTATTCACCAGGAACTTGATATATATATAGATCCACGAACTAGGTGACAATAATAAGAATTATTCACCAGGAACCTGATAGATAGATAGATAGATCCACGAACTAGGTGACAATAATAAGAATTATTCACTAGGAATTTGATAGATAGATAGATCCACCAACTAGGTGACAATAATAATAATTATTCACTAGGAACTTGATAGATAGATAGATCCACGAACTAGGTGACAATAATAAGAATTATTCACCAGGAATTATGTTGCATATAGCAGGCCAAACGGTTGGACCGATTTGGCTTGAATTTTTTGTGGACACTCATGGGTGGCCGGGGGATGTTAAAGCCTAAAAAAAATCGAAATTTTTTTCCAAATTTTTTTTTTCAATTTTTTTACTTTTTTTTCACTGACAACGCCGGGCCCTTCAGCGAGTCATACATATTTTAAGATTTTAGGTCTGTCAGAATGTTAGGTTATGAAAAAAGTGCCTAACTAAAATAGATTCAGCATGTAAGATTTGCCTGATATGGTTCAGATACCAACTGTCATCAGGGGAACTGTTTGATCTAAATCAGAGTCCTGAAAATGAAGAAGAATAAGCCCCTTAACACAAATTCACCTCAATAAAATCAAGGAGAAGAAATTATAAAAAAATATTTAATATTTTTATAAAATGATCTACAAAAACACTTTTTTAGGGGCGTCAAGGGGAAAATCTATTTTTAACTCAATTTCAGATTTAAATTTTCAATTTCTTAGAAATTAGTAAACTTTTGCAATTTAAAACCCTACTATCTTTTAGGAAGAATCTTCACAGGATGAAAGGTACAAAATGCACAATTTTCATCAAAAGGAAATCCTAGAAATTCATTATCATTGAATAATAATATCAAAGAGTGGGGTACTCTTTGATATTATTTTTTAGCAAAAGATAATTTTTAAATAAATTTTTCATTTTTTAAAACTTAAGTAAGAATTGTCTTCGATAGTTTAAAAATCCAAAATGCTCCATTTTCCTCGAAAGGGGCGCCAAGAATTTCAAAATAAACGAATACCCCCCCTCAGATATTATTTCGCTAAAACATAGAAAATAATAAATTCGGATTATTTTAAACCATTATTTAGGGATCACCTTCAAAGACTTAAAAGATCCAAAATGCACAATGAACCCGTAACAAGTAAGACATTTTGTAATATCTCTGTAAATATAAATAGCAGCCGGTTCTATTTTTCAATGTAGACTCGTATATACTCCCAATGACCACAAGAATTCACTAAAAAACAGAGAAAAAAATCCTCTAGTTTTTCATGTCAAAACAGGGTGTCAAAAATTGCTTTTTTTATTTTTATTTAAATGCCAAATAATAATTCAGATCAAATATATAGGAGAAAAAGAAACAAGAAAATATTATTTACACCCCCCTCTTGAAATTCATTTGTCAAACGCAAAAAAATAAAAACTTTCAGTTATTGAGACACTCCATAATATAAAGGATGGTATGGTCTGACAAAATTATAGATTAACATATTCTTTGATTTTTACAAATAAAATTCTAGAGGGGAATGTTCAGTGGTATTTAATTTCTAAACACGCCATTTTGATAAAAAATTGCTCATTTTAGGCCTTTGAAAACACTCCCTGCATGCAGGATGGTATGGTGTTCAGTGATATATTGAATTTCTAGGCAACTCTTTCAATAAAAATTGTGTTTTTTGGGATCTTTAAGCTATTAAAGACAATTCCTAAAGGAAGTGATATTTAAAAAGATTTTAAATTACTATTTCCTTTGTTAATGTCAGGTATAATATAATCTATTTAGTGAAATTAAATTTTTCTAGAAAATGTGCATTTTGGATCTTTCACCTTTAAAGACACTAACTAAAGGACGATATGTTTTTAAATAATTTGAAATCAATATTTTCTTTGGTTTGAGAAATTGAATTTTTAGCCGTACCTTTTGATAAATCAATATTTATTTTTTTTGTTAAATAGAATTTATGAGGGAGTGTTAAGTGATATTGAATTTCTAGACGCCCCTTTCGATAAGAATGGTGCATGGTGCATGGTGCACGCCCCTGAAAAAGTATTTTTAATAATTCTCTTAACAGAAATTTTAAATATTTTTTATAATTTTATTTTCCTATCCTGATTTTTTAGCATCAATTAAACTGATTCTTAGTCTTTTTTAGGAGTCTGTTGCAGATCAAACGATCCCCCGGACAGTTGGCTTTTTAGTCCTTTAGTCTTACAAGGCTTATCTTGCATGCTGAATCTATCTTTGTTAGGCTTTATTTTCATGGCCTAAAACTCTGAAATACCTAAAATCTTAAAATAAGTATTATAAATGGACATGAAAAAGTATTTATACGAATACCTTTTATGCCCCCTGTCCTCTGTCTACGCCCCTGATAAGATAAGGATAAAGAATTGAGCATTTTCCCTGTTCCTTATTGATTGAAAGAATACAGGTGCAAAGTTATTATCCTTTACCTCTATTTTTACAAAAGTTTTTACACATTACTGGTCCTTTAAAGTTAAAATAAAAGTTATAAATGTAATTCTGGGAATGTATTCAAATCCTCCAAGAATATGGTATAATATTATTATACTACTCTTAATATGTAGGTCAAGCTTCTATCGAAAACCTCCAAGAGGAGGTCGTTTTGACAGTGGAGGTCAGTTTGACCAAGCCTCCCAGGTTGTCAATAGCAATGTTGCAGACCTCCAAAGTCTGTTGGAATTAAAGGTAAAAGATTATTTAATTCTTAAAAACACTTTAATCTTATGTTTTTGTTTTCTGTAGGCTAGACTTGCGTCCGAGAAAGCGGAACAAATTGCTGCCAGACAGAATACTAGAAGGTACAAAAGACAATTAATTTTTTGTGTTCACCAATTTTTGAACAAACTATTGTTTTCAGGTCTCGAGTTGAGCCTGATCTCTCAAACACCAGCAACTGGCCTGCGCTTAAATAGATCTGAAAACAAGGAGATTTTGGTTGAACTATTTATGGACTAGAAGTGTGACACTAACTAACTTAATTAGCACAATTTTAATCCTCAGACCTGAACTTAATTCTTACAATTTTAATCCTCAGATCTGAACTTAATTTTTAGACATTTTTTCCTTCTATCATGTTTCTTTAATTTGATTCCTTGCATTGTTTTTTTGGCATTTTTTTTTTACTTTTTCCATGTTCTCTTTTTAAATCAAAGCATTTAATAATATAAGGTGTATTTTTCATACAGTGAAACCCTTAATAACGAATACATCGAAAGAATTCATCAAATGTCGTATTCTTCACTTGCTGATAATGGAATGTTGCAAATATTTAGTTTTTTAATTAAATGATTATATGGAACTCTTTAAAACTGTTCCTGCATATTCATGTCTATTTATTTATTGTTGCAAATACTGAAATTTACGTAATATAGTATAAAACTCATTGGAAAATTGTCAAGACGACATTTGATAAATTCTTCCGATGTATTCGTTATTAAGGGTTTCACTGTAGGAAAATAAGATATTGATTTTCCTCGTGTTAACTTGATTATCTAGCACAATTCAATTCAGCAACACTAGGTAACAATCAACTTATCTACGAGTTTGGAAAGAAATGTCTGTGCTATGTGGATAGTGGATATTTGTTCTCAGTAAACTGCCTGGATTCCTTGGGTCTGTTTTCTATACCCCGTTTCTAAACCCATTCTTACCAGACGGAAATATCATTTTGAAAAATACTCAGAATTCTAAAATGGATTTTTTTTAATTTAAAAAAATGAATTTAAATAATTTGTCAAAATTTGCATGTTTTTAAGCTGGAAAAGCTGGTTTGGTGAAAAGTTAAATATTATTGTGATCATTATTTATTAACATGTTAATTACTATTATTTGAATTATAATTTTAATTATCAATATGATATTTTTAATTGTAATTTTTTTATTTAATATTGTAACCAGTGTACTATTTATTCAAATAACAAATAATTTTACAAACGTAATTCTTGGTTCATATAATATGGTACATAACCACTGAATCGACGAGTTTTGTAGTATTCAGACTTTGTTTAATAATGTGTATAACCACGAAGTAGGAGTTTTTTTTATGTTTCAGTGCACTTTGGTACTACTATTACAGTGCATTGTAACATTTAAGTACACGAAATAAATACCAGTACACAGTACACCTAACTAACATGGTACATGAGGTTAGTTTCCAGTACAATAATAAAAATATATTGCTTGTTTTTTGGTTAAATTTTTGAAAATGCAGTACAGTACAATGTTTGTTTACAGAGACTATGCAAAACATTTATAACAGTGTTAAATCTGGAGGGCTGAAGGTTGCAGAGTTCCTGACCCCAGTCTTGAAAGAATCCAAATTTCAGGTATAAGATGTCAACTTAAATATTTCCACCTGAAATATCATTGATAAACTTCTTATTAACCAGGAGACTGGGGTTCTTACTCCTGAGGAATTTGTTGCAGCTGGAGATCATTTGGTAAAATCAATTAATTAATTCTATTCATACAATTGATCATGAAAGATTTCACATTGTCTAGGTTCATCATTGTCCAAGCTGGCAGTGGGCAGTGGGTGACCAAGCTTTTATTAAGGTAAACTCCATTGCCTGTCATAATCCCCTTTATATATATATATAACTGCTGAGGGAAAAATAGTTGTCCTTTAATTGGAAAATGTTTGATCAAATCTATCGCGTACAGAGCAGAAATAAAATCAGACCAAGATACAGTGGCATATATTGGTTTGGCTTCTAACACATTTAAAGAGAGGTACCTGAACCATACATCATCTTTTAGGAATAAAATTACAAAAAAGGTATACGGCACTTTCCAAGCACATTTGGAAATTAAAGGATCAAAAGAAACCTTATGAAATAAAATGGTTTATCGACGAGTATGCAACCTCAATCCTCATATCATCCAACCAAGAAGAGATGCAATTTATGCAATATAGAAAAAACCCTTATCCTCGCATCTACACCTCATCATCTTCTAAATCAGCGCAGTGAATTAATAAGTACATGTCGGCATAGAAGAAAATATCTATTATCATCAATTTAGCAAAATCATGTTTTTATATGTATCTAATAATTTGTATATTGCAGTTAAGTGCTGTATTTTTTTTGAAGGAAAATCATTGCAAAGAAATGTTTGTAATAATTTTTTTTAAAATACGCAATATGCGATGAAAAAATCTTGGAATTTTGGTTGTTCAAAGAATTGTAACTGCTGAGGATATATATATATAACTGCTGAGGGAAAAATAGTTGTCCTTTAATTGGAAAATGTTTAATCAAATCTATCGTGTACAGAGCAGAAATAAAATCAGACCAAGATACAGTGGCATATATTGGTTTGGCTTCTATCACATTTAAAGAGAGGTACCTGAACCATACATCATCTTTTAGGAATAAAATTACAAAGAAAGTATACGGCACTTTCCTAGCACATTTGGAAATTAAAGGATCAAAATAAACCTTATGAAATAAAATGGTTTATCGACAAGTATACATCCTCAATCCTCATATCGTCCAACCAAGAAGAGATGGAATTTATGCAATATAGAAAAAACCCTTATTCTCGCATCTACACATCATCATCTTCTAAATCAGGGCATGGTAAATTAATAAGTACAAGTCGGCATAGAAGAAAATATCTATTATCATCAATTGAGCAAAATCATGTTTTTATATGAATCTAATAATTTGTATAGTGCAGTTAAGTGCTGTATTTTTTTTTAAAGGAAAATCATTGCACAGAAATGTTTGTAATAATTTTTTTTTAAATACGCAATATGTGATGAAAAAATCTTGGAATTTTAGTTGTTCAAAGAATTGTAACTACTGAGGATCGTCGTGACTCATGATAGGCGTGAAACATTATGTTTATTATAATTCTTTTTTAAAAAAATGTGAAGTTAAAAACTGAAATATATATATATATATATATTATTTAGGATTATCTACCAGCTGATAAACAGTTCCTAATCACCAAGAATGTGCCCTGCTACAAAAGATGCAAACAAATGGAGTACAGGTAAAGAGTACTGTTTATTATGTACTGTGTACTGTGAAATGTGTACTCTGTACTGTTTATTATGTACTGTGTACTGTGAAATGTGTACTCTGTACTGTTTATTATGTACTGTGTACTGTGAAATGTGTACTCTATACTGTGTACTGTGAAATGTGTACTCTATACTGTTCATTATGTATTGTGTACTGTGAAATGTGTACTCAATACTGTTTATTATGTACTTTGTACTGTGAAATGTGTACTCTATACTGTTTATTATGTACTGTGTACTGTGAAATGTGTACTCTATACTGTTTATTATGTACTGTGTACTGTGAAATGTGTATTCTATACTGTTTATTATGTACTGTGTACTGTGAAATGTGTACTCTATACTGTTTATTATGTACTGTGTACTGTGAAATGTGTACTCTATACTGTTCATTATGTACTTTGTACTGTGAAATGTGTACTCAATACTGTTTATTATGTACTGTGTACTGTGAAATGTGTACTCTATGCTGTTTATTATGTACTGTGTACCGTGAAATGTGTACTCAATACTGTTTGTTATGTACTGTGTACTGTGAAATGTGTACTCTATACTGTTTATTATGTACTGTGTACTGTGAAATGTGTACTCTGTATTGTCCAGCAAAGTAATATATCTTTATTTGTAGAGGAGAAGAGATGGTTTTAGACAACGATGATCCAGAGGGGGGCTGGGTGGACACTCACCATTATCATGAGAAGGTTATTTTAAAGTTCTATTTTCCACCACTATTTGACGTTGTCGCTAGATGTCTTATGCCTGTATTTATTTAACTAGGATGAGGTTGAGACCCAGGTGTCCGAGATGACTCTGGAGGATAAATCTGAGGAGAAGGAGGAAGATGTAGAGGATGAAGAGGCTGTTGATATGGATGTAAGTTTAAATAATTGGATTGTTCAACAGTTTCTTTCAAATTTTACTTTATTAGGAGTTTGTTGAACAGGGGGGTTTAGAGGAAGATACAAATACAGTGATAACAGAACCTAAACTAGCTTCCAAAGGAATTCAATCATTTTAACGTCCTTTTCTCTCTATCATTTAATTATTCTTTCATTTATTCTTCATTCAATCATCTTTTTCATTTATCCTGTCTTAAAATTATTTTTTCATTCATTCTTTATTCAATCATCTTTTTCATTTATCCTGTCTTAAAATTATTCTATAATTCATTCTTCATTCAATTATCTTTTTAATTTGTCCTTTCATTTAATTATTCTTTCATTCATTCTTCATTCAATCATCTTTTTCATTTATCCTTTCATTTAATTATTCTTTCATTCATTCTTCTTTCAATCATCTTTTTAATTTATACTTTCATTTAATTATTCTTTCATTCATTCTTGCAATCATTTTCTTATTCGACCTTCAATCATTTGATTAATTCTATTTTTTATTTATTGATTAATTGATTGAGAAACTAGGTGGTGAGATCCTAAGTACAAGAACCTATGATCTAAATATTACTTATGATAAATATTATCAAACACCAAGACTCTGGTTAACTGGATATAATGAGAACAGGTATTATTCCAAATAATAAGTTGATATTATCATTATTATTGTTGTTATTTTAGAGTTGCCATGGGAGTGGATGAAATGTATGAAGATTTCTCTGCGGATCATGCCAACAAGACAATAACAATGGAAACCCATCCTCATCTACCTGGACCACCCCTGGTATATCATTTTATTTATATTTTTGTGAACACTCCCTTTATATATTATTCCTTTCATGTTTTGGTGAACACTCCCTTTATATATTATTCCACTCATGTTTTGGTGAACACTCGTGAACACTCCCTTTATATATTATTCCTTTCATGTTTTGGTGAACACTCCCTTTATATATTATTCCACTCATGTTTTGGTGAACACTCTCTTTATATATTATGAATGTTTTCTCTTTATTTAGGCGAGTGTTCATCCCTGTAAGCATGCGCAGACCATGAAGAAGCTTCTGGATCAAATTAGTGAAGGAGGAGGAGATCTCCAGGTAGAGATATTATTAAACTATTAGTGAAGGAGATCTCCAGGTAGAGATATTATTAAATTATTAGTGAAGGAGATATCCAAGTTTAGAGATATTATTTAACTATTAGTGAAGGAGATCTCCAGGTAGAAATATTATTAAACTATTAGTGAAAGAGATCTCCAGGTAGAGATATTATTAAACTATTAGTGAAGGAGATCTCCAGGTAGAGATATTATTAAACTATTAGTGAAGGAGATATCATGTTTTGGTGAACACTCCCTTTATATATTATTCCACTCATGTTTTGGTGAACACTCCCTTTTTATATTATTCCACTCATGTTTTGGTGAACACTCCCTTTATATATCAATCCACTCATGTTTTGGTGATCACTCCCTTTATATATTCTTCCACTCATGTTTTGGTGAACACTCCCTTTATATAATATTCCACTCATTTTTTGGTGAACACTCCCTTTATATATTATTCCACTCATTCTTTGGTGAACACTCCCTTTATATATTATTCGACTCATGTTTTTTGTGAACACTATGTATTATTCCACTCATGTTTTGATGAACACTCCCTTTATATATTATTCGACTCATGTTTTGGTGAACACTCCCTTTATATATTATTCCACTCATGTTTTGGTGAACACTCCCTTTTTATATTATTCCACTCATGTTTTGGTGAACACTCCCTTTATATATTATTCCACTCATGTTTTGGTGAACACTC